GTGAAAATGAGGTCACAAAACCACATTTTAGTGACCTTTGTTCTTACTGTGTTTAGTGTGTCAGCACAAGGACAGGGTGTGTGTGGTTTCAGTTGATGCCGTCTCTGATGGTCTCGTATAAATAGGGTGTTATCACCAGTCCCCTGGTGTTTGGATTTGGTGTTGTGGCCATCCTATTTTTAGCTCGAGAGAATCACGTGTCTGACATCTCCTCCCATGCAGACGTAGACATGTGCGTGACTGTTTGTATGACTGTGCATGTGTTTTTATCAGCCGCCAATTGTGTCTCTGGTGTTAATGGAGCATCTGATGGCATACAATTGGAGGGGGGGTTGCATGTTATCCAGGCTTGTATCCAGTTGGGCGGGGGGGTTATTCAATCTCTCATTATAAGTGACTCAAAGTTCATCTAATTAAAAGGGGAAAATGTCTGTCTGCGTACGGTCGGCTTGGGTTTAACCACCCATCTCCGTCTGGTGAACAGCATGTCTTTCTGGGTTCTGTTTATTTGTTTGTTAAAGGTCTGTCGATGTACACTGGCTTCTTTGCTTCATATGTAACTAATATCTCTTTGACACCCTGCTATGAAGATACACTTTGATATTGATCATTATTATGTATATGAGATTTAATCAGTAAAATGATTGATTCCGACACTCATAAAAACAATTTAAAACAACGTGCTACTAGCATATTACTATTTCTATTTCTTTCTATTTCTTTCTATATCATGTTTTATGCTAAATTAGTAGTAGGATCATTGTATGAAATTCCAAATTCAGCCATTCTTGTTTTATTCATGAATAGAGTTGTCAAAAAGGATCAACTTCAGTACTATCAACTTTGAGCACTGTTGAGCGTAATCGTAAACACCTCTGATTGGCCACTGTGTTCATGCGCTCATCAGATATGTCTGTGATTGGTTCCGATTTATGATTCATTGTCTCACTCATAAACACAGTGGCTGAATTTGAATTGCTACTCTTACAATTTCTGTCAGACCTTTGAATCTTAAAATTAGTAGTAGAATGACAGCATGATATTCCAAATTCAGCCAGTCAGTTGTTTCATTCTTGAGCAAAACAGTTGGTTGAATGATTCATTGACCTGCTCATAAAGACAGTAATGTGTTTAGTGAGGCTCACTCAGAAGGAATAGTTTCAGTCAGTGTTTTCAGTCACCTCGCTCCTCTAGAGTAGTTTGTGCACTCGTGCCATTGAAGAGCAGCTTCTAATTTAAGCCAATCAGAAGGTTAAGTACAAGGGGTGGAGAAAAAAACAAATTACAGCCGAACTCAGGGATGTTTGAAAGCTCTGTTCCCTGAGAGCGGGCGCCACGTGGAGTTCACTGAAACACATTGTTTTACTGTCTAAAAATGACTCAGTGAAGCCTTAAAGAAGGGCTTTCCCCAGACTGACCGCTGTGAATCAACTGTGATTCACAGACTCCCTGCAGAATGTTGCTTTCACTCCATTTGGGCCTCTTTCTCTTTCTTTAAGTCACATCCAACTTTTTCATTCCAATGCTTTAGTTAAAGTCACTATGAAAGATTTTTTAGCCACAAGAGGCCGCAGTTTCCAACGATAACAAAGGCGTAGGTTGATGACGCAATGATGAGCTGAATGATGGGACTTGCTGTCAAGCTGATGGATCTAATAATGTTTATGGATGAGTGCAAACATTCATGTTTTTCTCTGTCAAGTCCAAGTTAGTCGCGGATGTCGAGCTCTCTGCATCTCAGAATGCCACGCTGATATTGATCCTCATTTTAGTTCTCCTTGTTTGTCCCAAAGTCTGCTTGCCATGGTCTATGTTTGAAAGAAACAAGAACTGCGTGCTGCTAAACGTTTTGCACTACGCAGTTGTCCTCGTCTGTTGCCATAGTTACATCATGGCTGTGGCGGTATGAACGGAAACCGAAGATAACGCGGTTAATGCGTCATTGTCAGGCGACTTTTTTTTTTTCTGGGACGGCCACTTATTTAAAATTGGAATTTCTCTGAAATAAAAAAAAAAAATATTTGGAGACTTTTTGGGATATTGTAAGTACACAACTGCAGGAAATGCATTGCACTGTGCTAGTGATTTTTGGATATTTTCTTACAAAATTCTTACATATTTGTACCGTTAATAGTTGTAAACACTTTAAATACTGTAAAAGGATGGTGGTTTGGTGGATAAGTTAAAAGAAGAGTTAGAAAAAGGAGAGGGTTGTGGTGGGCACAGAAGGGTTACATTCCACAATGGTGTCTATGAATTATGGTGTCAATGGTGTCTATGAACTAACTGCTTAGCTATTAGATATGAATTGTTATGTTTTATGTACCTTTCACTGAATTACAGATAAAAACAGCTTAATCCAGGTTTTTCGTCCTGCGTGTGCTCTCTTAGCATGGTCAAGCTGGTTTTAAAGGGGTTTTTGGGGAATTTAATTGGCTAAGTCACTAGACCATTTTGCCAACATTGTCAGTTGCATAAACATATAGCCATTTATGTTAACTTAAGACAGTGTCTTAAGATCTAGTATGATCTACTAACTGTGAAGGGGCAGCCAGTATTACTTTTCTGTACCAGAATAGGACAATCTGAAATAAGTTGTAGTCTTAAAATGATAAAATGAAAGTAGTAATAGAAGTTCTAGTACTAAAAATGAAAACTGAAATTAAAATGAATTAAAGTTATATAGAAATAATAAAAAGCACATAAAAAAGCTAATTCAAAGTACAGTACTATAATAACATAACTTAATAATATAGAATTTTAATATCAGCAATTTATTGGTTATTAATTAATGGCCTATCGGTATGTGGTATCTTCCGAAATGTGTCAGAACATAGAACTCAGATTATTTATTAAACTTGCATGTTTAGCTCACAAATGAGATGGGTTTTGCAATATCTGGTAAGTCTGTTCTTGCAAAATCTCCAAAGTAGGATTCAGCAATGGGACGCATGGAAAAGGGAGAGTGTGAGAAAGAGGGCTACCGTCTCTCTGGAAGCTCTGTGATCGGATCCTGAAGGAAGTGAACGGGGGGATGGTGACAGAGGAAGTCAGAATCCTTGAGATGAGTAGGTTGCATTGTTTTAGCAGCAGCACTCCCTCTATATCCAGCTGGATGGGTGGAGCGAAGGAAGAAGAACTGTGTAATGATGGAGGAGTGTGGGAGCCGTAGAGGAGCTGGCAACCTTCTGAGGTAGAGCAGGATGCTGGCCAAGTTGAATGCTGGGCTCTAATTTTAGTAGAGGAGTGTTACTGAGGGTCATGAGGACTTTATTACCAGATAAACTCATCACAACCTTTGCCAAGGCACAAACTGAACTGGGCTGAGTGGTGACACGTTGTGGTGGACGAATAACCTTCTCTCACCACACTCTGGATTTTCCTGTTTCTGAATTGGCGTTTTTGTCTAATGTTGATGTCAGAAACTTTCTTTTTTTTTACATAGTTTGTCACATCTTGCAAAAGTCACCCCTTAACATGACATGTTTATAGTGGTTTGTGATTGAGGTTGCACACACGTGGTCTTATTTAGTACTGAAGACATGAACTTAATTAAATGTTTCCATCAAACACTTTTTGTTTTGTGTTTTATAACAAATGGATTGCCTTAAAGTCTGGCTTAGTAACTGATATTGCTTTAAAAGTCTCAGTAAAGGACCACCAGAAGGTTTGTCTCCTTGCCCTCTAGAAGCTCGTTGGCCCATCAGTAAAAATGGAAGTGCCTGAAAAAGACTCCCAGAGAGACACCTAATCATTGGTCTCCAGTTGTCCTCAAGTCTGTGTGTCAAATAGCTCCCTGCTAAACATGACAGAAGACCTCTGAAACATCTCTACTCATGCACACACTGATGAAACAGTCATTTATGATCCTGTTGCATTAACACTACTATCATTGTTGTCTTTTTGAAGTGCAAAACATGTCATTCGATATTTGCATACTGGTCAAAACGTGTCGGGGTCTCATTTTGTCCCAAAATCAAACAGGGGAAAGATTTGCATAACAAATATGACTTATTTTACTAAGCGCAAATTCTCATTACCATAATGTATCTACCTGTAGATGTGATAATTTTTGTAATTACTTTGTACATTGTTGAAGAAGTAAATTTTTGTGCCCCACTGAAACTATTTAATAAAGGCAAGTAATAGAGTATTTGAGTGTAGATCATCATCTTATAAAGTTACATTTTGTAATTCCCATTATTTTCACTTGTGACTCACAATTTAAAATAATGATTTCTTTAAGTCCACACAGTTGCACATACTACAATGATGCTTAATTATATATATATATATATATATATATATATATATATATATATATATATATATATATATATATAATTACATATATGTAAATATATATACAGTATATCATTATTTTCTCACATTTACATAATATGATTTTACAAACAAAACCTAGTCAGCCTAAAAATATGAGTGAGACATGTTCTTGACTGCTTTCATGAGATTGTGATCATACAAGACATTCCTGGATCCCATTTGTGACTATACATAAAAGGCTGACCAAGAGAATAAATGAGTCACAGACCTGATCTGGAAGTGGCCAGAAGTTCACTCCATGGCCGACGTTCTCTATTATTGGTGGTGGACAAAGCCTCTGCCGTGACCTCAAATAGTTCCTATAGTATCTGAGGCATGGTAAAATAGGCTGTGTGACCCTGGTTATGAGTAGTGCTCTCAAAAAAAATATTTAAAATCTGGCAGCTATTTTAAAGGAAGAGTAAAAAACAGGGATGATTTTGCCCAAGTTAATCTCGTATGTTATTGTATTAACCTTGAGTTGCTTATATTTTATTTTTTATGTTTAATGTGCCGTTCTCTGTGAACATGTGCTAAAAAAAAAAAAAATTATTTTATTAAGGTGTAAACTTACTTTGAATTCCTTTTATTTCATTCTTTATTTTAAACTGCATTATCTATTAACTCATGCTAACCTTTTCCTAACTTAATGCCATTTACTCTTTTCTGTTTTGCAGTATTGATCAGTCAGTGGCAGAGTGAGACGAAGGAACGGGTCATCTCTTTGGTTCTGACCCACCTGCCTCTCCTTAAACCTGGCAACGTCGAGGCCAAGGTGGAGTACATGAGTCTCCTGCCAAAGATCTTGAGCCACACCATCGAACATGGGCGGCACTTGGAGGAAAGCCGGCAGCTTCTGTCCTATGCCCTCATTCACCCTGCAACCTCCCTCGAGGACCGGGCGAACCTCGCCCTCTGGCTCAACCACCTGGAGGAGCGGGCGGCTGCCCGAGGAGCGGGAGATTCCCTTGAGCGTGTGTCTTCATCTCACCACGGGCAGCCTCCGCACCTCTACCCCCACCACCAGCGCTACGGGTCGGATGACCGTCTCAATGGCTGGCAGAGCTCGAGGGACTCTGGGCTCGGAAGTTGGCAGCAGCATCAGCAACAGGGCTGTGAAAACGGCCACCTCTCCCTGTACCCAGCATCCTCTGTGCCCTCCACTATCAATGCTGTAGGAACAGGCAGTGGGACCAACACAAGTGAGTGGGCTATTCTTCTATTTTGTCTTTGGCAAGTGAGATTAAAACAGCTGCAGATTCAGAGTCAGAGATTTACATTAAAGGGATACTTCACCTATGGAAAGATGAATGTGTATTTAAAATGGGTCATTTATGTAGAAGAAAGATTTTTGAATTTGGAGCTTTCTAGACTGAGAAAAGACAGAAAATGTATTTTTGGCTTATGTGGATGAAAGACAACAACTCTCAGAATGCACTTGCTTCACTGCCTAGGAGGCCATGCCTACCAGTAACAGAGCGCAGTAGTTAAACAACAAGTCTAGGCTACTAGTGAGTCTCCGTGACGAGTCTGCCCGAAATTTTTTTTCGAGATCGCCCAAAATGTCTGGGATTCGGCTTTTGCGTTGTACAGTCGACATTCATTATGTTTACTGTAATGAAAGTGAGGGCCGCGGGAGAACGGCGCCATGCCAGGCCGGTGACGTGATTATGGATAAGCGACACCTGAGACGCACCGGTCTCATATCTCTCACAGAGGAGCGGGAATTTTCTTACCAATGTTAAAACGCACATCAACCGATCACTTGTTTAGCGTTCAAGTAAACACTACATTCAGATTCACCAGTGGAATGAATACAGTTAAATTGAGGCTATGTTTACACGGAAACGATTCTGAAGAGAAAACGCAAAAGTGGCGTTGCGTTATCACTTTTTATTCTGCATTTCGACGAGCGTTTTGGGTGGGAAATCCATGTCCAAATGGTGACGCAAAAGTGTGTGAAATTCAATGTAGTATGCACTCCAGGCGGCTAGGTGGCGATGTGAAGCACCGCTACACAACAACACCAAGTCTGCGCGCCTGCGTACAACCTTCACTGTCAAGCAGACTTTTGCGTTTTTACCCTTTACACGGGAACGCGGTGGCGGAGCGTTTTTAAGATTTCCACTCTGGAGGGTGGTTTCACTTTTTCATTTTTAAGCCTCAAAAACGCCGTCGCCGTGTAAACGAAAGGCAAATCCGATAAAATATTCTTACGTTTTCACCCACAAGCCTTCTTGTGTAAACAGGACCTGAAACAAAAGATCTGCATGTAAACAATGACTGGCGACAGCAGAAAGCAAAAGCCGAATCCCGGACATTGACGACCAGACATGTCCGGAAAAAGAGGATGGTAACACCTACTACTCAGCTTTCTCCACAGAACTAGAGCCTGCAAGCTTAGCTTTCAAAATAAAAGATGGCTGACGCTATGTGTAATCCCTGTCCTCGATAATGCATCCGTCTGCGTATTCAGTACCTTCGTCCATATTTTCAAAAAGTTTCTGCCGGTGAACTCAAACGCACTGGCACTGATCTGTGATTGGTCTGTTTGCGCGTTAGGTCCAGCCCCTAAGGGCGGGGTTTGAAAGGGTGAGATCTAGTGCTTGTAGTCTTTACAGAAATCCCCCCTCTTACACTTCCTCCTACAATGACGTAAAATGACAATTTTTGCATCATTTTGGGAGGAAGTGAAAAAGGTAAATAACGTATTTTTCTCGTCTCAGGGGAAAATGAGAGCGTTTTGCATGACCATTCAATAGCATGACTGGGTTTCTAACAATGGAAAGCTTAATGCATATGAGTGGAGTGTCCCTTTAATGTGAGTGTCCCTCTCAAATCCCTACCCCTTTCCCCCTTGAAAATTCAGATGCTGTACTTAAGACTTCGATTTTATCTCCAATCATGTTGGAGCATTCATAACTATGATAGCTCAGCAACGTCAGAGGCCTTTCGACCCACAAAACGAGAGCAAAAATGTGTACATGCGGCACTGCCGTGCTGTGGGCGTAACAAAGATATTCAGATTGAACATATCTGTGGTCAGAGCATGATATTTCCAGCTAAGAATGTTAGGGTCTTTTTTTCTGATGAAGGAGACAGCTGAGGATATAAATAAGGGAACATTTAAAGCACTGCTTCACCAGATCTTCTTTATTTTTTGACTACTTAGAGTTTCAACAGTACAAAGGACTGGTTTCACAACTCTCTTCAGCAACCTCAGGATGTAGGCTTTTAAAACATGATGATTTTGATCCGTGTAAGCTCAACAGGTCAACAAAAAGTGACACAGGCACAAACTTACTGCTTAATCTATATACTTTTTTTAATATTATAAAATGTAAAATATTATTAATGACTGCTTCTGTCATCAGGTCAACAAAGTGAAATAGATGCATGTTTACTTTTTAGGTGCAAATTCACCTTAATTGTTATTGTGAAGTAAGAGTAAAAAACACAACTGTCTCCTTGACAAAGAATAAAATGTAACAATGTATAAGACATAACCATAATCATCATGGAACATTGGTAAATTGAATTAGAAGAGCATCCTGTGCCCTCCTTTACACACACAAACACCCTCTCACCTCCCTAACTAAGTACTACATACCATCCCAGCTCTTCCCTTGTAAGGTATCCTTTGTGGAGGTTTGTATTTAGGGAAAATGGCTAATATTTAGGGACTGGAACTTGAAATGTTAGCTGGGCACCTATTTTAAACTAGCCCGCGAAGACCTATACATAGTCCAAACATTTACAGCCGCATATAGGAGGAGAGGACTGGCTCCACACGGCCTATAACGTATCTTCTCCATCTCAGTCTCTGTTTGTTTCCTCTTTCCCCTCACCCGTGACGGGGTTGAATGTTCCAGAAGAAGACAGGCTCACCTGTTTAGTAGGTGGAAAAGACTTGCAGCTTGTTTGGTTTGCCAGGTTTTCCCCCCTCGTAGGAAACAAATAAACTTGTGTTGGTTGTTCTGGCTAAAGCAATTTAGTGCTACAGAAGCTGTTAGTCAGACTTGTTTCAGATTTGTGCTGTAAATCTGAATCTCTTTGACATCAGATTTAGGTTTGTTTGGTTGGAGTGAAACACACACATGTCTGCTTGAAAATGGGCTCTGGGGTACGGTTCATGTGTATCTACTATTGTGAGTTGATTACCTGTTATAATTTGCCTGTCTTTAGGGAAAGAAAACTTTTATTTAGAACAGGTTATACATTTTTCAGACTCTTATGAGTTGGTTATTTTCAGTGAATCAAAAACAGTGTAATTTGAATCCCAAATGAATGACTTGACAGTGAAACATACATACTTAACCCTTAACAGCTTATAACTTCTTATGCTATGTTGTGAGACTTATAAATTAGGATGTTTGTCAGAAGTCAGTTGTACAAAATAACTGAACAAAACAAATGAACAATTTTTGTTCTTAGTATTGTGATTTTAATATATTATGCGTCTGAACAAAGTTATTGATAGTGTTATTGATAACAAAATCGAAAACTATGCAAAAAAATCATTAATTGAAATGAAGTTTAATATTTTGTAGTATATAGATATAATTTAATTAGATGAAAAGCTTAAATTTAAGAAAAAGAAATTAAAATTGGAAGTTACCTTGACCACTAACTTAAATTAAAACAAATTGAAGTACTAAGATTAGATTAGAAGTAAATCTGAAGTAAATATAAATAAAATAAATAATATAAATAAAAGTAAACGACAAAAACTTAAAATTAAAATGAATATAAAACCTGAATATATATATATATATATATATATATATATATATATATATATATATATATATATATATATATATCCAATTCTATTGTATTTTATTTAATGTAATAATTAAACACTTAAGAAACTCTTATTTTGGTGTTTTGGTCACGGCAAAAAAGTTTCAGTTTAAAATAAGAGCTGCATGGTTTGCAGTGTCACAGGAATTTGGAGTAGATGGTATGTTGTTACATTGTGATTTCATTATTTTTTATTAATTAATTAATTATTTAGAATACCCCTTGAGTATGAGAGCATATCCACTTTCTCATATTCATTGCGGTCCAAAATCATTTTCCATACTGAAAGCCCCCGTACTATTCGACCCTCAGATTGTACGCACTGACTAGACAGAAAATAGTGTGTTTTAAAAAAGTTCATCCTTATGTCTGCTTGGTAACAGCAGAGCTACTAAACGTAGCTTGTAAATTGGAAGCTTTTGATAGAAGTTTCTGGAAATATAACGGTCCTGATTTGTTGATGCCAAGGCCTGATCTCATGCTGCATGTTTTTTTTTCTTCTTCTTCTCGCAGTCCTGTCGGGTGGGCAGCACAGTCCTCTGAGGCGTTCTGTGTCTCTGACCCCTCCGATGAGTGGCGGATCTAACCAGCCTCTGGGGCACGGCTGGCTCTCTCAGGAGGACCTGCGTCCCCGCGGGCCGGCCCCCGACCATGCCCCCATCTCTCCCCAGAGCAGCGTGGCGTCCTCGGGCAGCGGAGGCAGCGAGCACCTGGAGGAACACGCTGCTGTCCGAAGTACATTCCATGAGGATGGCAGCGGGATGAGGGGTAAGCCACATGTACATTTATAGAAACAGGGATGTGACTGACTGTGTTAAACCCATTTTTTAGTGCAAGATCTTGGAAATAAATAATTGATCTAATGAGTCATTAAGGTTTTCCCAGAACTTTAAAAATTAGGTCACTCTCATGAAATCCTAACTTGCATTGCTTTTCTTCCGAAATAATGTGATGTCTCTCTCAGATGTGCCGGCTTGGCTGAAGAGTCTACGTCTACATAAGTACGCTGGGCTCTTCTCCACCATGACGTATGATGAGATGATGTCACTGTCAGAGCATCAGCTGGAAGCTCAGGTTGGTGCTTTCGTTACTCTTCATTTTTACACCTTAATAAAAAATGTTTTTCTTAATTTTTGTCTTATTCTCCAAAGTGTATATATATATATATACCACATTTCAATTTATATTTATATATATTTCTTACCCCATTGGCAGTTCTTTTCAAATTTAAAGCTGCAGTCCGTAACTTTTTTGTGTTCAAAATGATCCAAGATACATGTTTGAGAAAATACATAACCAGCTAGTGTTCAACGCTATCTGCTTGCCATGGCTCGATTCAAAACAGTAAGCTTGTAATAATGTTTTTAATTCCACTACTGTGGTACTGGTGGATTTCCGTGGGAAATTCGAGCATGTCTTTTCGTCATTACGTCACATAAAGGAGGAGTCTCGGCAATTTGGCTATTTTGCGTATGGGGATGTTGGAGGTGGAGATTTATAGTCTTTTCTCACAGCACTTGATATAATTAAACTTATCAATTTGATGGCGGATCCAGAAAGGTTCAAACGACAATCACCAGTGACAACAGATTCACCTGCTGTAAAATGCAAAAGACTTCGTTCGGACTTCAGAGTGACTACAGAAAAAAAGAGACTGCAACTGGACCCATGCGAAAAAACGGATAGATATTGGAAGGACATTACATGTAGTCACGCAATGCTGACGTTGCTAACATTAACAAGTTGAGAACAAAGTATAATTTGCACGGTTTTGTGTGATGATAAGTGATTGTAAGATTTAATCAGTGCGATTTACTGCAATGTCAGAACCAGAACAAAAGTCAATGTTAGTTACTTGTTCAGATGACATTTTCCGGTGAAAATTATTATGTTGGCCATACTTCCAAAAATAATAATATGTGATTCTGAATGCCAGTATCACTACAACTCGCGTCAAGTTGATAATTCCGCGAATGACTGCAATTGCAGATTTCGAACAAAGATGGCGACAAAGAGGGAAAAATGCGGACTGCAGCTTGAAGCATACATCTCACTCAGTTTTATTAGACATCTCTAAAAGTAGACTTCATATATAATGACATTTTCATTCTCAACTAAATGTATCTTGTTTTAATAATGTTTAGGTATTTATATCGGAAAATAAGTGCAGATCACCTCCAACCGGTTCAATAGTTTATAGTTACAAAGTAACATTGCCAGAGAGGTTCTTCTAGCATGTACAAGATGCCAGACACAAGACTTAATTACTTCTTGTAATTTATGTGATACATGAGATACTCACAATTATAGTATCTTGATTTAGCTATGTTGTGCATTTAGCTCCAAATACTTTGTGCCCACAACTAGTTGTAGCCTACTGTATTTGCGGCACCGTTAGTAACTGTGGTAACAATGCATACAAAACATAGAAAGACATTGCTTTTGGAATAAGTAACACACAAGGGACCATTTAACAATTCGAAGTTTTTATGTGTGAAATTTGGCTATTATTGTAGGGGAATCATATAATTTGTCGATCTTGTACTTGCATTTAAAGATTTGTAAATTGTATATGTTGTAGCATTGTTGCATATTATCACCAATCGGTCATGATGCATGTCAGATTGTGTTTTAAGCATTGTTTTCCTCTGATATAGCAAGTCACTAAAGGGGCACGGCACAAGATCATCATCAGTATTCAGAAGCTGAAAGACCGACATAACATTCTGCGCTGTTTGGAGAAGGTCAGAGCCTCTCTTTTCCCATCTCAGTTTATTTCAACCCATAAACTTTGTTCATCTGAACCGTCCTATTGATCACAAACTTCACATTTGCATTCATTTGTACATCAGATGCTTTTCACCTTCAATCTTTCAGTTTCCAGCCTTGATCATTAACTGCAGTTTCACACTAACTCCGGAGCCCAAACCTCTGCTAATATCCTTTTCACTTTATCCTTTATTTAATTCAAGGACAATATTTGATACAACAAGAGACAGGAAGGAGCCAGATGTCTAATTTCAGAGCAACCTTTTCATCACGCTTTCCATCTCGGAGCATTTGTAGCATCAGAAATAAGACACCTCCTCCTGATAGTCGGATCCATTTAAAGTTTTAATGTCCCTCATGTTTCGGCCCTGTTAGAGTCGCACCGTGCGACGGGGAAACAAACACGCACGTATTTTTGGTAGACCTTTATTTTGTCCTCACATGTCATTTTCCGCCTCATTACATGTCTGAAATATCCCGACACCTGACAGTTGCCCGTATTGAATTTATGGAAGTGTCCAAAATAATGCTGCACCGCAACCTTGAATAACTTGCATCCATCCATTTGTCATCTCTCTCTCTCTCTCTCTCTCTCGCTTTATCTTTCAGGACATTTTGGAGGGAGGGAATCTACGTGCTCCTTTGCAAGAGCTTCACCAGATCATCCAGACGCCCATTAAAACCTGTAGCACAGAGGATTCCTCACAGCGCCACCTGCTGAGCGCAGAGGGGAAGAGCAGCATGGCCAGCTCACACCTGGGCGGAGGAGAGACGGAGGGAAACTCCACGCTCATAGCCGAGGGAGACATCCCTGCTCAGTTCACTCGCGTCATGGGCAAAGGTTCACGCGTAGTTCTTCCTTCCTGCAATCTGAGAATCATTTCAGGCTTTTAGGATTGTTTAAATCCTATCCATTACTTTGCGTTTCCACACATCTTTATCTCACAGACAGAAAAATGGGTCAGAGGTTGTCAGACAGACATGATGTAATTGACTTTCCTTAATTTTTGCTGAGCTTTCCATAAACATATGAGACTGAAAGTCACATTAAACACATACTAAAAAAACACAGCAGCAGTAGTAGTAGTTTTGGCATCATGAAAAAAGATTTTATTTTATGTGACTCTTTTTGTCTGTCTTTGTGACAGTTTGCACACAACTCCTAGTCTCCGGGTCGGATGAGGAGAACATTAGTTCCTACCTACAGCTTATTGATAAGTGCCTAATTCATGAGGTAAGCATTCATTAATATATGAAAGTTCTGGGTCTTATTGTCAAATATTGATCAGCTTTTTATTATTCAATAAATTCTCATTAAATAAAATAAAAATGTAAAATAAATAAATGAAAGCTAAATATATATATATATTTAAAGCTAATAAAAAAGACAAAAGGACATGACATAAAAATCTAGACAAATGGGATGGTATCATTCTAGAGAGCATTAGATTGGATAAAATTTGCATTTGTATATTGTCATCAATATTTATGGTCTTCTTATCAGGAAGACTGCAGAAGAATGTATCTGGTAAAAATATAATTTATTGCAGGTGTCAAATCTAATAAAAATGATATTAAAGTCAATAAACAATTTTGATTTCATGGTGTTTAAGGCATTTATGTATTAGGCATATTTAACCAAATCAAAATACAAAACTGCTTTAGTTTCTTGTGTAAGACTGTCATGGTCAGAAAATGGCGAGCATCCAGTTATTTGTATTGATTTGTATTATTCTTATTATTGAAGCTGCTGAACAAATTACTAACAATTAAAGAATAAGCAGACATAGTCCCATTAGACACAGTTTTGGAGTCTTCACTTATGAGGTGTAATGTCTTGCACCCCACGCAGGCCTTCACAGAGACGCAGAAGAAGAGGTTGTTGTCATGGAAACAGCAGGTGCAGGTGCAGTTCCGGTCAATTTCACGGAAAACTTTACTGGACTTAACAGGACAGAGACGAAGGTAGAGTGAATTTTTCGACTTTTGTTTCTCTTGAGATTTACTTTTCTTTTGTCTAGGGTCCTAGAAACCCTGATACTGGAAAACGTCATGTCCCTCCGACATATTAAAACCCTTTAGACCGATATTACTGAAGTTTTAACCCTGTTTTATCCTATAATTAACCCTTAAAAAATGAATTGTTCTTCAGGATTTCCATTTGGGGTTAGTTTGACCCAAGCCGAAACATGCTGTAGAAAAATGCAATAAAAAAATCAGATAGGTGTAGCAATTTAAAAATCCATTACATGTTTAAATGCCTCTCTGGAGGACAAAATAAATGGAGGACAGTTTTGATGTGGAAATTCTCAGTTTTCATAAAAAAATTTGGGGGAATTTAATTTGGTTGGTAGAAATGAAGTGTTGTCGTCATTTATTCACCCTAAAGTTGTTTCAAACCTGTGTGAATTTCTTTCTTCTGCTGAACACAGAAGATATTTTAAAGAATACGATCTTTCCCTTGAAGCAGATCATTATTGCACTATCATTATTGCACTAAATTGACAGGTTAACTGTACATTACATGTATCACTGACTTGTAAATGATTGAGTAAATTTCAGTGGAAGATTCTGATCATGACAGCTGTCATCTGATTAATAGGGCAGTTCCTAGCAAAACCCGTTTTGTTGCTCAAATTTTACCAAATGACTTCATACAGTGGACTGAGAACAGACTTTAGGCAAGAACAGAACTTTTGAGGTTTGCCCTGTCAGATTGACTGATTTAGGGCAAAATTGACATCTGTGTTTTTATTTATTGGACTAAGACTTTAATGATGATCGGATACCACAAACCACAGAGAAGTGTTTAGGACCATGAGTCACGGTATGCCGTCACTCCCTACTGGATTGCATCAGGGTCTGAAAATAGAGCATATGATACTCAGCTACAATCTCCGATTTTATGTCTCCGTGTGAAGCATTACAGACTTCTACATTAGTGGTTCACAACCTTTGTAACTTTATGGTCCCCATTGACAAAGCCAGTACTGGAAGGCCCTCCTACACAGACTCTGGTTTTTCATCTTGTACTTTTGCCAAAATCAAAAAGACTCACTTGTATTCAGTCTTTTTTAATACAAAGTAGGGCTGTCAAATATATTAAAGTAATGAATCAATTAAACTGTACACTTTTTGTGCCTTAATTAACATATCATTGTATATATATATTTTTTTTTATATATATATATTATTATTATATATATTATATATATATATTTATATATACATAAAATGTGTGTATTCACAGTGTATATATATATATATATATATATATATATATATATATATAAAATTTGTATTTATTTTTTGTCATTTTTTCCTTTGGCAATGTTGTTTTTTTTAAAGTGTAGATTTGAGTTTTTTATTATTATTATTATTATTGAACATGCACCTCTGGAATAGACCTTAAGACACTGACATTAATTGTCTACTGCCTTTAAATTATTACATTTCCAATAACGTAGGACATTAAAGAGATTATACATTTAAAATTAGTTTAGAATATTTTTATAATTTTCTTTTTTTTTTTTTTATACATAATTTTTCTATATATTTTACAACGCTGTCTGCCTGTTTCATTCCAGCAGCCGCTACGGTCAGTCCAACTCCCTCCCAACCACGGGCTGTGTAGGCAGCGGCGTTCCCACACGGAGAAACTTGCGGCAGTATCAGATGCGGAGTTTGCCTGGTATAAGACCTGGCCTTTTGGGTACCACCAGCCTGTACGGACCAACCCCCCGGAGCAGCAGCAGCACCCCTACCGGCCTGAAACAGGGCAGACAGGTTTGTCATTTCACAGTGGCTTTCAACCACACCAAACCCAAAGCGCAAATGACTCTATTACCACCACTTCAAACTGAAGGGAGCACTAGTTCTTGAAGTGGATGGAGCTGGAGGCAATTTACGGCATTCCAGAATTCCAACATCACTGTTGAATGGAACAACTGAGGATGGGGTTTTGGAAGCGCAGCGATAACCTGGCATTCTTGCGTGTCTGCTCAAACATTTTTCTAGGCACGCTTACAATGGGAGGAAGTTCCAACTGCCTCCCTGGTTCAGAGTCTGTGGACGGTGGGGTTAGGTGTGCGTAATAGCGATGAGTCATGTGTGGGGAGAAGTGCTGGAGGGAGGAGAGAGAGGGGAGAAAAGAAGAGGAGAGGAGAAAAAGAAAGAGAGAGTGAGCTAGTCAGAGGCAGTGAGAACAGTGCACAGGCATTTCCTGTTTTTCCCTGCTCCTCTGAACGGGAGGGCCAGGAAAGGGGGGAGAGGGAGTCAAATGAAGGGAGTGAATGAAAGAAGGATAGGCAGGTTAGAAGGGCGTATTCGCTTCAAATCACTCCATGAATGGAGGAATCTTACAAGACCATAAGTTACAAATCATCCCCAAATCAAAAGAAATCCTATTTTACCCTATATTTACCCAGTGTGACATTAAAGGGATAGTTCACTTTGAAATAAATTTTTGGTATGTTTTAGCTTACCTCAAGGGCATCCAAGATGTAGGTGTCTTTGTTTCCGGAGTAGTTTCAATTTTGATATTTTTCGGTCAAACCGTTCTTGTCTGTCAGTCATATAATGGAGGTTTAGGGGTCCTCCTCAAAGAGCATGCACAGAGAAGTCCAAATTAAACATGATTTAATGACTCGTAAATGTAAGTACACATTAATGGCCTAAGACACGAAACGAGCGGTTTGTGTGAGAAAACGAACAGTATTTATATCATTTTACCTCTTGTTAACAGCCATGTTCAACTGATCTGAATCAGATGTCTAACTGAACCGAACTGAACCGTGTCCAACGTTCCGCCAGAAGTGATCTCTCGCGCATCTCCGTCACTCATTGTTTACACAGAGAGTTCGGAAGTTTTACCTTTTACTAAACATATTTAGATATATCCAAATCGTCTTCCATTGCGATTTCCTGTATATCTAAATGTTTAAATCTTCACAGTGAAGGGTAAAACTTCTGAAATCTCTGTGTAAACAATGAGGGGCGTACATTCGCAAGAGATCACTTCCGGCAGAACGTTGGACACGGTTCAGTTGGACATTGGACAACTGATTCAGATCAGTTGGACATGGCTGTGGTTACACGAGGTAAAAACAACATAAATACTGTTCGTTTTCTCACACAAACCGCTCGTTTCGTGTCTTAGGCCATCAATGTGTACTTACATTTACGAGTCATTAAATCATGTTTAATTTGGACTTCTCTGTGCATGCTCTTTGACGTGGACCCCCTAAACCTGCATTATATGACTGACAGACAACAACGGTTTGACCGAAAATTGTCAAAATTGAAAATACTGCGGAAACAAAGACACCTACGTCTTGGATGCCCTTGAGGTAAGCTAAAACATACCAAAAATTAATTTCAAAGTGAACTATGCCTTTAAATTTGCTCTTGACCTGTGCTAAGAAAAGACATGTTTCACGCTAAATGAATGAGAAAGGATGTGCTTTTATAACTAGACATTTTATGTTCAGAACAATAAAAGTCTTTATAATAGGTGAAACTGTTTTTTTATTTGAATGAATTCCGTTACATTTGTTATTATTTTCCAAGTCTGTTATGTCAGTCCCACACAGATTGTAAGATGGTGTGAATGTAATTTAGTTGACGTGTGTTGTTTTGTTGTTTATTGTTAGGGTTTGTGGTTTGCCAACCCAGGGGGCAGTAACAGCATGCCCAGCCGCACACACAGCTCAGTTCAGAGGACTCGATCTTTACCCGTCCACACCAACCCACACACCATGGCCATGTTCCAGCAAACAGGTAAGAGACAGGAACTCAATCTCTGATCATTGGTAACTCACAGTCTGGAGAGATCTCTGACACAAAAAAACCCACATGACTTAAAGGGTTAGTTCACCCCAAAAATTAAAATGAAAATTCTGTTAGTATTTACTCACCCTCATATTGTTCCAACCCCGTAAGATTTTCGTTCGTCTTCGGAACACGAATTAAGATGTTTTTGATTAAATCCATAGACTATTTATATAAAGACATGCCACTTCCTCAATCCTTAATACAAATGTATAGGGAAAACCCGTAACACCAAATATGGTGGTTTTATGCAAATGCCCCGCCCCTCCCGCTGGACAGCCAATCGTCAAGCTGAGAAACATTTTAATATGTTACTGTTTGAAAAGGCGGCAGATTTGATATGCAGTGTATGTGTGCGTTGTGTAAATATCAGACATCCCAAGTCTCCCAGAAGTTCCGGGTGTCTCCCGCAGATTGATAGAGGCTCGCTGATGCCCACAAATTAGTTCAAATCTCCCGGAATCTAGAGTGAGTGAGCAAGAGCGTGCACATACTGTGTTTCAAACTGTGCAGAGAGCGAGAGAACCCTTGCGCATGTGCAGTGAAAGTATACCATCTGCTCCTTTCTGATCATGGAAATCTAAAGGAAATTTCAAATGAATTGTATGTGATTGGTAAAAAATAATGCATTTTCATGAAAAAATAAAAAAAATAAAGCTAAAGCTATACTAGTCCATAGGCTTCTTAAGGGATTGAAACTTGCCGGCCCAAAAGTTATGAAAGACATTGTTAAAATAGTCAAAGTGACTACAGTGGCTCAATCTTAACTTTATCAAGGGACGAGTATACTTTTTGTGCGCAAAAAAACAAAGAAAAAAACGACTTTACTCAACTATTCATTTCTTTCTCTGTGTGTCGCAGGATTTTTACGTATTGAAACTACGCAAATAGAAACTATGCGTGTGCATATGTGTTTTTGCATTGTAAATATTTAAAATGTCTTATTTCATTCTCTTAAACAGATACCCTTATTTTAAATGTATTTCTGAGCAAAAATAAGGCTCTTGTCAAGTAAAAAATATTATCAAAAATTTGCTAGTGAATAGACAGTTTCTTTCTTCTGACTGAAACTGCGTCACATATTTAAAGGGAAAGTTTTGCTTGTTCTTCACACATCGACTCCCAAGCGTTGTGCTGTGTGTGCTCCACTGACACACATTCAGAGCAGAGCGATGTTCCTCTCTGCCTGTGGCTCCACTCTGACTGCAGCTCAGACTCACTTCCTATACTGTAGTTTGCTCCGTTCTCGTGGATTTGCAGAAATACTCGGCGAAGAAAGAGTGTGTGCAGTGTTTTTTGTGAGCTAGGTTGCATGCTACAATGACTTTCTTTGTGCTTGCCACTTTCTCTCTCTGACTCTTCCCCTTCCCTTTCTCATTGCTGCCCATCCCAATGTGTTCATATTAACGCCTTGATTCATTCAAAGGCATCAAAGTGGGAGCTCTGTGAGAGAGACTTGAGGGGCCTTACAGGATTTAATGCTTAAAAATAGCAGGTTGTCTGTTCCGTCCAGCCAGTGGTTGCCTAACTCAGCTCTTCCTTCCCACAAGGGATTTTCAAAGGGCCGTTTGCTGTTGACTCAGCTAAAGACGAGCACTGTAAAGGCCAGGCCAAGCAGCGCTGCAGGAGTCCTGAGCAACCAGAGTCCACCCCATCGAGACTGAATCAACTCTTTTACAACAAAGATCCCACTATAGTCCAGTGTACTACTGAGGGAACTCAGTCGGTTCACAATCAGTTCAGTTCAATTTGCAAGCATAATGGCTGTGAATTTTGAAAATTGAGGTGGCAATTTGGCGCTATTGATCATTTGTAGCAGGCATAATGACTAGGATGTGAATGGGACACTGTCACAATTTGAAATAGACCTTTGTTTGGCTTTCTCTAGCTGGTAAAGGTCTGAGTGGGTTAATGGTAAAAAAGAAAGGATGAAATATTGGTCAGATTATTAGAGCCTGTTTTTATCTATGATTTATCTGAAACGTGTGGTCTAAGGTCTGGGCTAATGACTAAAGGTCTGACAAGAGGTGACCTGTATCTATTGTGCTTTTGAGCAAAACACGTAACCCTTGATTGATGCAAGGGTGAACACTTTGTGTAATAAATGTACTGTAAGTTGAAAGTGTCTGATAAAAATGATCTGTGATGCTTTTGCATGGATGAAGCTTCAAATCTGACCTACTTTGTGGACCAAACCTATTCTGTTCTGTTCCTTATCTTCCTGTCTTTAACATGTGGCAAAAAGCAAAAATTACTACTTTTTCTATATGATGGAATGTCAAGACATCTGTCTCTGTC